GGAAGCCTACCAGAAATACCAACTCCATTTCCAGAGTGCATGCAATATGCCACGTGTGTGGCCAGGTATCTTCCCAGCATCTCTCCTGCCCACCCCAGCTCTGCCACTCAGGTGTTCTTCAGAGGTATCCTGTAGGGTCAATGGAGGATTAGAGACACTAGGTGGGTCCATATCAATAGGCTCCCAAATCTGTATTCTTCCTACACCATGTCACCCGCTGTGCCTATTAAATGATGCACTTGGGGACAGATAATGGCTTCCAGTAAGTGCTCAGTTCACAATTACCACCAGAGCCTTTAAGAGTTCCGTCTACTTTTAATAAATACTTCTAATAAATCATGACCAAAAGAAGCTAAGTAAATGTAAATTGAAGCCAGAAACAAATAAGAGGAAGTCTATTTCATTTTAGTAGCATTTTTTAGAGGTCAGAAGCAAAGCTTTCTAAATATCTGTTCAGGGTCTAATATTATATTGTATGTGTGTCCCAAATTAATTCAGTCCATAAAGGTCAATAATGTAAAATGTATTCATGTGTTCAGGTAAAAATTTATGATGTGCTATAATGTGATGGTGTTTGACTAGTTTACAGCCCTGGTGATACACCTTTGGAAGGCATTTGGAAGTGATAAAACAAGGGCAGATTTTTTTCATTTTCTTATAGAAACAGTAACCTGAAAGTCATACTAAATTTTATTGAGATTCAATCCCTAGGTAACATTAAAGTAAGTGTTTGTCTCTCTAATTCTGTCATTTTAGGGAGAAAATCTAGAAAATATGCCAATTAAACATGTAGTTAGATAATTCATTATCTTCATCTGTGTAGAAAACACTAGAGTGTGAAATGTAACCTGCACGTTTTATTTGTTACTTTTTCCTAGATTGTCCTCTAAACTGGACCTTAAGCACAGTTATATTTCACATTTTTGGTTAAATTTCTCCTCTGGTTTAATTTTCCTTTAATTTGTTTTGGTACCTGATGTATCAAAATTTTACTTATACTGTAACATTGCCAATTAGCTAGGTATTATAGAAAGCAGGAAAATTAAATAAGGTGTTAATAGATTAAACACACATGCATATGATAATTTGATGTCATTTAATTTGTATATCTGGGAACAAACTTGGAGTGAAAAATATATATTCGTAATCATTATTATTACTACCACCTTCGTTCTTCTAAAGGCTATAATAAAATCAAGACATTTTCAATCTGGATTCCAGCTTTGTCACTTACTACAGTTCAAACTTACCATCTTCTCAAATCCTCAGTTTCGTCACATATAAAATGTGAGAATTGTTTATTCATTTGTTATAGTGAGAAGTGAATGACAGAAAATACATGAAGCACTTACTGGGTTGGCCCATGCTCCCTCATGTCACTGAAGTTCACTATCTCAGAGATGTTAAAATGTTCTTCTCCAATGTCCCTGCAGCCAGTCCTTTGCAAACTCAGTTTTTTAGTTTTAGACTCTTATGTTAATTTTATTGCTCTTGCCCATGTTGATTATCATTTTCATTCCAGATATTTATCACAGCTTACGTGGACTATAGTCACTGCATCTTGGTGAGCCACTCTGTCTCCTCACTTCATCATCCCAGAGGGTTAAATACAGTAACATCTTACCTAGTTCATATTCTTTCTTATACCCCTTTTGCTGATTGAGCTCAACTGTAGCGTCTTAGCATCCATGGCCAACTACAGTATTACCTCCCAATTCATTCCCTACTATGATCTAATAAATGAAGCTTCTTTTTATTCCTATGTATTTTTTTTATGCCTTACTTTGGCTCATACTGTTCTTTCTGCCCATAATATCCATTGTTACTCTCCATTTCTCATAACCTGTCTCCATGTCAGTGCCCACAAACGCACACAGTATTGTTTTCCACTGGACTCTCAGAGCCTTTGACTTCCCTTCCCTTACGGTATATATCTTATCTTTTTCTAGGTTTATGGCTGTCAGTCATGTATCTGTCATTTTCCTTCTACTGTATGGTAAAGTCAATGTTGGGTAAAAATTTAGTCTTATTTACCACTGAGTCCCTGGGAGCAACTAGTACAGTATACATAGCAGGTAGCCAGTGAATAATTGTTTTATTGAATAGCTGCAGCTCAAAGAGCTTCTTTTTCCTGTAATTGTGTGTAAAGATGATGATATTCAGAGCATAAGCTTTAAAAATGGCTGTGCTCTATTGTCAACTGCCCTCTGGAGGAAGCATCAGAGTCACAGATAAGGTCAGAACTCTGTGGAGGCAGAGGGGGAAACAGTTATGTTGAAAGAGCTTTTAGGATAGAAGTAGATATTAAAATTAAATGATATGGATTTTGGTTTTCCGACTGGATTATAATAGTTTGGTCAATGTAGAGTCTGTCAGAAATGATCCATGTTTGTTCTAATTAGGCTTATAGATGACTGTAACACTTAATAACTTAGTTTGAACTTCAGTTTTACTTACCTATACCCATTACTCTTCATTGTTACTTCCAAATGAAGTTTTATTTTTGCCACCTTATCTTTTATAGACAATATGAACTTTTCTTTTGCGCCAGCAAATTGCATAATTAACATGTAGAGGGCTGGTATAGTCTTCTGAGCTTTTCTTGGCGTTTCCATCGGATAATTACTTAAGTTGTGATCAGATTATTTCACTTTTGAGAAAACCGTTTGTGGCTATAATGGTAACCAGCATGAAAGGTGATTACTGTGCAGGCCTCTCCGCCTGTGGGCACCACTGGGATTAGAGTTGGTACAGGTTGGTATCCTCCATACCTAAATTTCCTCCTGGGCTTACAACACCAGCACCTAGGCCCATATGCTGCTCTTAGGATAACAGTTCAGTGTGCTGAGGCTAAAAATTCTTTTCTCATCTTGTAAATTGGGTCTCCTCTTCCTCTCCTGTCCACCTTGACCCTTTCAATCTTAGTGAGGCTAGTTTACCAAAGCCCATTTTTTTTTTCTGCCACAACAATAAATCTGGCCACATGGCTGCCATGGAAGTTATACTTAATGAAGAAAAAAAAAGAGTTCAGATTTAACATTTTGTACACATCCTTCGTTCTTTCAGCTATAAAGATCAAAATAATCAAAGAAAATGAAAATCTTTTAAAGACAGATATTACTACTTCCTCTAGGCTCAGGTTTTGTTTTCTTTTTGTTGATTGCCTGCTTGTTTTCTTTTCCTTTATTTCCTGTTGGTAGAGCATGAGAAAGGTATAAAAGAATATTTTGGGATCTGCCAGCTAGTGTCTCCCAGATTTCTATAGCCTGTTTTAAATACTATGAGAAGTAGTTAGACTGAAATTGGTTCTGGTGTTGTGAACTTATATTGTAAATAAATAGGCAGGACGATGTGGATATCTTGCAAAGTAAAATTCAGTGATCTTGACTCCTCTGATTTAATATCAAATAAATCATCTTTTCATCTTTGGACTGTAAATATAAGATTTATTCATGGAGTAGCTATTTACTGACTTTCTTCCTCCTACCAAGTACTGTTGTATGAGCCGAAGATACAGAAGTGAACAAAACTGAGTCCCTATTCTGATGAAGCTAACATCCTTGTGTAGCACACAGACCATAAACAAATTATAACATGGCAAGAGAATAGTCAGAGATGTGGTGGTAGGAAGGTACATTTTCATTTAGGAAAGTATTTCTGATAAGGTGACATGTGAGCAAATTCTGAATTAAGTGAGCGAGGGAACCATGTAGATGCCTGGAGGGAACATTTTGGGCAGAGGGAACAGTAAATGTGAAGTCCTGAGGTAGAAGTAAGCTTGGATAATGTAAATTTTTAAAATGTAATAAGAATCAAAATTCAATAAATTGAGTGTAATCACTATTCCAGTGTTTTATATTTGCCTCTAAAACTAAAACGTATGCTAATTGAATCTCAGTTAACCTCCTAGAAATTAATTGGTTATTTCGAACAATTAGCAAAAACATTATATCAACCTTTAATCATTAAAATTTTACACAGAAATATCCTGGTTAATTATCCGTGCTTTGGTTGAGGCTTTATTGCATTTTTATAGTCATCTGTGCTCCAAGAATGCTTTCACATTTTTCTCTATTTCTTTTAATTAAGCTAAAACAACTGTCCTTAGAAAAGGCCATTCTTTTAGTCTAGGACCCTTTTAGTAAAAAGAGAAAAAGTATTTTTTAGAATCTCTTAAAATTGTCAATAGGTCTAACACAGCTTCTTTCAATGAGAGCAATACATGGCTACTGACAAATTAATATATAAAATGCCCATTGTATCATTGATGAAACCAGTCTCTTGGAAATTTTGGTAGTTTTATCCTGGTGTTTGAATATTTTTCAAGACATAAATATTATTAATAGATTTCAGAAAATTGTTCAATATTAATAAAAAGCTGTATCTGATACCATATCGATGTAAGGTATCTTTATTTTTAATTCATTCTAGAGAAGTCTTGATGTAAAGACAACTCTAAAATGTCATTTATTCCAGTAAGCAGTATTTTTACATTCTTTAATATATGGAAATCTTTATCTCATTTTCAATTTTTTAATAATCCTTTAATTTTTATGATTGATTTAAAAAGAGAAAGGTCATTATATTTCACTTATTTTTGCTGTATGTTTTATTCTATCTGTAAAATAAAATATTTCCAAATATGAACTTTAATGCAGTTATTTCACAGCCTGCTTTAAAAAATAGCAAAATCAATATTCTTGGAAATAAACTTCAGAATTCCAGATGGTTTAATATGTACTAGTTAAGTAACCCCTCAGGGATCACGTGGTTCCATGAGTCTGTGTCAAGCCATTGCCATTACGCCAACATCAATGGTGGTTGGAACAATCAAAGAGAAGAATGGCTTTGTTGAATATTGTGAAAACCAAAAATGCATGAATAATTTGTTGTGAGGGAAAAATATTTAAAGTGTGCAGATAATTATTTAAACAATTAATAGAAGGCAAGATTTTCAATGGTACAATGTAACAAAATGTGTTTTCTTTTTATGTTTTCAGACAATCTATGATCTTTTTGTGAAATGACAGAAAACGAGTCACTTCCAAGGGTACCCATGAATGATATAGTAGGTAGTTTTGGAGTCTATCTCCCTAGTGTAAACCATAATACAATTTATTACTTAAGTAAAGCTGACTTTTCCCCATGGCAGAAGCAGCCAGAGGTAAGTGTCCCTCATGAATTTCACTCAGTGCCTTTGCTTATTTAGTTTTCTCTCTCTCCTGTACCTTCAATGTCTCTTCTTGTATTTACTCTTTTTCCCTCTCCTTTTGACAACTCCATCCTCATTTGACTATTACACTGTCTCCTATCCTTGACAGCCACATTTCTTAAAAGAATAATTACATTCATTGTTTTTACTTCTTCAAGTGCCACTCCTTCTTCAACCTGTTATAATCTCCTTCCTAGCCATTCCAAAGGTTCTAAGGAAATAAGCTAGAATTTTCATTAGCAAACATAATACACACATTTTTATATTTGCTTCTCTTATTGTTAGCAGCATTTGACTGTGGAATCCTCCTCTTAAAACCTGTCTTATCCCTCAATTATGGTAGCCTTACTTTCTCTTATTTGCTCTCCCTCTCTGGGTTGCTGCTTTTCCTCCTCCCTCAGCAACCCCATAAACTTGGTATTTTTAGGGTTCTGTTTATACCACCTCCCTTCCCTCTTTCTAAAATTCTCATGTTCTTCCATAGTGACTTTATTTGTAACTGTGCCTTATTTAATGCTGCATACATAAATGACTTCTCATTCCAATACAGACCTTCCTTCTGATCTTGGCTATTATCTGTCAGTTCCCAAGCAAAGCCCGGGAGATGTTTCAATATTCTCTCTAACCATCCATATCTAATCAGGTACTAAGTTTTCTTGACTTTACCTCCTGAATATCTCTTGACATTAGGTATCTCTCATATGTTATCTCCGCTGGTGCCCTTAGTCATATCTACTCTCTATTAGAATAGTATAATTTCTGTAACATATGTAACACCTTGTTTTAAAAATTTGTCAGTGGCTACTTATGCATTAAGAACAAGTACATGATGCTCAGCAGACTATTATATTATTTCTGGCTATGTTTATATTCTTTTGTCACTCTACTTTCATTAGCCTTAAGAAAGTCTGGTATATTAGTTGATTTATTAAGAGTAAAAGTTATGAAATCAGATTACTTGAACTCAAGTCTAAATTCTGTGTGAATTGCACAGTTATATAGTCCTCCTAAGCCTTTGTTTCTTAATAAAAAATATCATGAGAATAAAAGTATTTACTTCACAATATTGTTGTATTAAATGAATGCTTATTAGTATGCTTGGCACATAAATAGGTACTCAAAAATGTTGGCTGTTGCTAATTATGTATGGTTTTCATGCTGTTTTATGCTATTTCAAAATGTATGCCTTAGCATAAACCATATCCCCCATGCAAGAATGTACTTTCACACCTTTGTTTCATCATTTAAGATGTACCTCAAACATTTCCTCTTCTCTAAACCTTTTTCAAAGCACACCTCATCCCAGCTCCTTCCCGTTGACTCAGATTGCTATTGAAATGAGAGCTTTTGTGGTGTTTGAGCATTTCAGTCTCCTCCATGAGGCTCTAAGTTCTTTGGAGGCATAGCTGTGTCACATGCATGTCTAACCTGTCACCATTGCTCAGGTGAGGCTAAGACTGAGACTAAGTAGATTCTCAATAAGGATTTGAAGATAAAATGACGGACCAAATAAATTAATGAAAGGCTGGGACATATGTATGCACAAATTAAGTTTCACAGGACCATTTTTCCATACTTTTTTGCCATAGGAAGAGTTTTTGTACTTACTAATTGATTTTTTAAAATTTTAAAACTGTTTATGGTATTTTTCTGAATGCAGAAATTGACAGTTAATCCATTCTTCCTATCAATAAGATACAGTCCCCAGTTGAGTTTCTTAGTTATACATGAATAGAGAGAGTGCTAATAATATCACTGGTTTAGTATAAATATATAAGTAGTATGGTTTAGAAATTAATCAAATTTCAAAATTATTCACAAATCTCTGCCTTTACTTTGTATTACCTGAATATAGGCAAAGAGAAAAAAGTTGATTACAAACTAAATTGTTCCATTAGCCGTCTCATTGAACATTTTACACATTTTATATAGAAATAATTACACTACCATGTAACCCACTATACCTTGTACTGTGACCGACTATACCTTGTACTGAGAACTCTGCATAATATTAGAAAACATTAAATTGATATTATAATTACAGAAATCATCTGGTCAGTTCTTGTTTATATTTTAGAGATAGTGAATACTTTTTTAAAAAGAAAGAAAGGATAAGCAGAAAGAAGATAAGAAGAAAAGAAAGAAAATGACCTACATGCTAAAGAAGTATGTATATTTATCAGGAAGAATTTTCTTGTCCCAAATTTAAAGTCTGTGATTGATTGGTCACCTTTAAATCCTAAAATGTCCAAAGAACTAGAAGATCCTGAATAGTTATTTGGTTCTAAATATAAAGCACTTTGAAGATAAATTGAGAAAGACATAGGCTTTTAACAAAAGGGAAAAGAAACACTTGGGAAAATGAAATTTGCTTTCAGTGGCTTTATTTGTCATCAAACTGAGTTACTCCATAAAATAGGCCCACACTTATTCTTTCCTAGATGTAACTGACCTCTTATCAGAAAGTGCGCAGTATGTTTGAGATGAAAAAGTAATCTCTAAGCTATTGCATTGGTCATTAGCTCTTTTACAGCTATAAAATGGGAAGAGATTATAGATTTTCATCTTTTAGATCAACCATCAACAGAATGAGTGGGTTTCCATCTGCAGCTCTCATACTCCCTTCTAGACCTCTAAGCCCACTCAATTGTGAATTGATTTGAAAACTAAATTATTAACTCATTATACTAGCATCCATCCTAAGTTGGAGTTTGCTCACAGAAAAAGTAAGAAGAACATCATGATTCCCCTATTATTAAAATGAAAACTGAACAAATTGCATAGGTCAGCATCTACAGGGACATATTTGAAGTTATTCAATTGGATTCATATCCATTTCTTGAATGACTGTGCAATAGCAGTGCTTTCTGCTTGTAGGGCTTTGGGAGAACATATGTGTTTCTATTTAGTTTACTTATAAAACTCTCCCAACAGGGATATTGTTCTCTATCCATGATACCCACTTAGGATAATAAGGCATTTGCGCATGGTTGATTATCAGTAAAAGTCAATACTTTAAAGGATAGCTTTGGAGAAAGCAAAGATAAATTTATAAATTTTAAGACACTCCTAAAAACCATTCTTTTACATAGGAAAAAAGGCTGTCTAAATGGACTTGTGTCTGATTTTCCACAAAAGTCTTTCCTCCATGCTGTCTTTTTATAAGTTTTAATATTTTGTCAAAACATGATAATCTCTGCAACATTATATATTGATTAACTAGAGTTGGCAATATAACATAGTGGTGAAGAGCTCAGATTCTAAATCAGTAATTGTCAGTAAATTTAACAATTATTTTTTTGATTCTATGTGCCATATGCTCATTTGATCACTGGGATTATAAGGGGTAAGAGGCAAAAATTCTTGCCCTTATTGAGCTTACATTTAGGTGATAGGGCAGACAATAGACAATATAAATAAATAAACCATATGATATTTCAAATGGTGAAGTACTATGGAGAAAATAAGCAGCCAGGGAGAAGGGAAGGCTAGTGTGTTTTGGGGAGGAGTTTGGAGGATGGAGGAAGTGATTCATTTCCACTTTGATTGATTTCTATTTTAAATTGAGTGGTCAGGGAATTTCTACTAAGATGGGAGGATTTGTTCAAAGACCTGAAGAAGGTGATATTGCAAGCCATTTAGATTTCTGAGGAATAAGCATTCCCAATAGAGAGAACAAAAATCTTAGTGCTGTCACTTTCTGTGTATGAGACTGAGCAAAGATTCATGTTCTCTAAGCTTTAGTTTTCTGCTCTGTAATATGTGGACAATCCTAGTGCCTGCCTCAAAGGAATACTGTGAAAATTAATCATACCATTATATATGTATTAGAGATATATATTAAACACCGAATAAATGTTAGGTATTATATTGTTATTTGGGAATTTAGAGTTTTTCTTTTATATCACTTTATTCAACTCCTTCACCTATTCATTAGAGCCCTGTATGATTCCCTGTTTGAAATAGGCAGCTATAGTAGAAAATATTGTATTTTTTCCAGTGAGGCAAATACATGTTAAGTACTTAAGTGTTCAAATATTCGATAAGAGAAAAATTGCTCGTGTGTATATATATTTGTGTGTGTGTGTGTATATATGTGTGTGTGTGTGTATATATATATACACGTATATATATAAATTGCTCGTGTGTATATATATGTGTATGTATGTATATGTAGATACATGTATATATATATACATGGCAAAAATACTTGTTTATACATATCTATGTAAATAAGTTATTATATATATATATATAAATATATATATATATATATAAACAAGTCTTTTTGATATGATCTCCTCTTTACTGCCATTTCCAACCGTCAGAAGCACATCTTCAGCTCTTCAGCTATCTTTCTTGATATTTGCTCCATATACTTCAAGTGGCATGCTTACATTGCTGATTCTTGATTTTTTCAATTTTACATATTACATGTTCATTTCCCACCACAAGAATTGAGGATTTGGCTCCTTTCTGCCATCGGATATGTCTACTTTCAATGTTCCCATCTTACCAGTATAATTATGTCATACTTTTTGTTAGATCAGCATTGTTTGGTCATGTGACTATAAAGTACTATCCACAGCTGTACCATAAACATTTTTGGGTATCTTTGGCTTTGGTTCTTTTTTGTTATTAATGGTCTTTTTTTATTATTGATTTATTTGTTCACCACTTCATTCCTGAAATTCTCCCTTAGAAATATAAATTTCGCTGAAATATGTTCCAGTCTGTCTCCTCTTAGTTGCTGCTTTTTGGAGATTTCCTTGCAGGAGCGTTTCAACTAGCCATAGTCTGACCTGACTGTTCCCCAGGTCTGCTTCAGAGCAAACCTTCATCACCATCACTTCCTAGAGACCCACTTTGCCTCACCTTCCCAGTTGAATGCTGTTTCTGATACCCCATATGTTTCCTCTCCTTGCTTTATTCTCGTTTTAAGAGTGTACATATCCAAGAGCTTCCGGAGAAAAGGGGTAGGGGAGATATATTTGGACGCTTTTCACATCTGAATATCTGTTCCACTTACAATTACATAGTTACTGGATATAAACTTCTTGTGTGGAAGTAATTTCCCCTTAAGATTCAGAAGTTCTGCCTTTTAGCTTCTAATGTTGCTATTCAAATATCTGATGCTATTCTTATTTTTTAAAAGTTAAACATTTTATTTAATTTAAAACATACAAATATTCATTCATTGACTGGTATTTTAATTGTAAAGTCAAGATTATTTCTTTGAATATGAATCCCAGATTGAATTTTTTTGTAATCTCACATGAAAAACACCTATAATGTGTTATCTATAATTTGTTTCCTTTTCTTTAAAGTGGAGTGGATTATAGATTTTTCATTTATTGACGTGCCCCTTCCAATTTTGACATCCTTTTAAGTTATTCTTTGTATTCCTCACTGCTTACCTAGTGTTGTGCTATTCTGATAGCAGCACCAATAATTATACTTGTTTATTATTAATTTTTCATATTTTATTTTGCTTCTATTATTTGTCTTAGGTTGAATTATTCAGAAATAGAATCTGAGGTGAGGATTCAAGTAAAAGCAATTTATTAGGAAGTATTCCTAAGAAAAACTGCTAGGAAAATGAGAAAGTGGGCCTGGAAAGGAAGAAGTTCACACATGAGTATAATATCAAGGATAATGCCCTGAGGAAGCTTTGGAGACAGTGCAGAGCACACCTTAGAATTATTTGGGTCACTAGCAGCCAGCCAGGTTGGTTACTGCCCTGTGCATTTTAGTCATTGGTTAATGATTGCCCCAGAAGGGCGTAAGTTCCCAGGCTCTCAGGGGTCTTTGGCAGGATGGGATTCAGCAGCTGGAGATACCTTTCTATGGAAACCCATGAGTACTGGTGTTGAACTGAAAGCATAGCAGGTACTGGTGTTCATGATGATGGTTGAACATGAGGATGTATGAGCAGACTACTGACTGGATTTGCTACATTATTTTATAAAAATTAGCTAATAAGAACGAGAGGTCTTGTGAACCCAGTACAGCTCACACAAAGATGAGATGATAGTCAGTAAGAATGCTGAAAGCAAGATTACTTTGGTCTCAATCAGGCACTCATTGCCCTTAAAATCACTTGGCTCCTATTTTTGATTATGGGGGAATAAAACAAACTAAGAGATGTTTGTAAGTGCTGGATATATTATCAAAATTATCTAAAAAGTAAGTGTGATTGATTCTGGAACTCTAGTATTTTTAGCTTTCCAGGAAATGAATCCTTATTATAACACCTGAAGTTTTTACTGGACAATCATATATTCTTGTATCACACATGTTTTTAAGACCACCTTATTAATGTTTTAAAACAGTTTTTGTTGCGGGCTTACCTTGTGCTAGGTACAATTTTTGTTGTTGGAGTTAAAACTTTGAGCAAGATAAAGAAGGTCTCTACTCTGATGGAACATAAATTCTAGTGGGATGAGACCATGAACAAATAATGAGTAAACAGAAATATCTGCTAGTGATAAGTACTATAAAGAAAGTGAAATGGAATGAAGTGATATAGATTTATGTTCAAGGAGGACCCCTCCCACACTGAAGAGTTAATGTATAATCTAAGGCAGGAATTATAAGAAAGAGCCAAGTATGGGAAAACCTGAGGAAAAATTACTCCAGGGACAGGGAACACTGGTACAAAGAGGAGTGAGGCTGGTGTGTTAGAAAATCCGAAAGAAGTTAATGTATTTGGAATGTCAGAGCAAAAAGAAAAGATGAAGTTCAAAGTAATTTAAGGCCAAATAATGAAAATCCTTGTAGGCCATGGGAAAGAATTTTGTGTTTCTTTCGCTTTAAGAGTCATGGGAAACCACGAGAATTTTAAGCAGTGTAATGACATGATCTTTATGTGTTTGAAGGTTTCTCTGAAAGCATATATGGAAAATGCAGGCAAGAGTAGAGAAAGGGAAACTTTCTAGGAGGGCATTTCTTTATACTGAGACATCATATTGAAGTCAAAGAGAAATAGGCAGATTCTGAAAATTACTTGGGGGTAGAATTGACAGGTTATATTGATGGAGAATAGAAAAGGGACTGAGGAAAGGTAAACTCTCAGATTCCTAGGTGTTTGTCAGGAGAGACTAGATGGATGGTTGGACCATTTTCTGATCTTTCCTTATGCCTGTAATTATCAAGTACGATTGATTTTAAGCAGCATTGCCGTTCTCTTCATTGTGTCTAGAGTTTAGCTATAGGTAAATGCACGTTGTTCATTCAGACCTTTGTGCTTTGTGACTGATGATTTTTGGCCTTTTCCTGGTTTATTTATTTACTTATTTATTTATTTTTGGTTAAAACAATGTTTTGACATACAGGAGAAGCAAGAAAAAAAATCTGCTAATATTATGCCATCTGCTCCTTTTTAATTTCTTTGAAGGAAATTCTCCAAGGAAATGTCTTGTCTCATTGATGCCCATTTTATTGTCAAAGACCATTACATCCCAGGTTTTCACACTGACCTGTCCTGTGGCCATCAGAACTGGCTTACTGGAGACATCTTTTTCCATCATGGAGAACACTTAGCTGTGTATCCTGCCAGACTTCTAGGAAGGAGATGCTTTCCTTGCCTCTTCTGCTGAATTCAGGCTGAATTCCTAAATTCTGGTTTGTGACACCATTGTATTATATTGTATTTGTAACTCAGTAGATTCATTATCTATTTCTGATTTTAAAAATTACATGAGAAACATTCCAAATTTTCTGGTTAATTGAAGTAATCTCTTGTTTTTGAGTACTAGACCCTGATCTCAGAAGCATGCCCATCTGTTTACAGTCATGACTGGGAAAAGGCATGAGTAGGGGGAAATGGATATTGTACACCATCATTACTGAATGCATTTCAGCAGCCATGTGAATTAGAGTAGCTCTTGATAAAGAGCCTGAAGGAGATTATTATTTTGGCACTAAGTGAAATAATTCTTCAGAAACTAAAATACTAATGCAATTTTTAAATATAATTCACTTCTCTAGCAATATATATTTTTCAGAATATTGGTTCTTATTAAAATGTGATGTAAAAATATGTGAAAAAAGGTTCACAAAAATTGAATTGGCCTATAATTTTTTTTAAAATCATTTCTTCTGATTATAAAAATATGTCTACTGTAGAAAATTGAAAAAGTAAAGAAAGTCATATAGGAGAAAATAAAAACAACTTGTAATCCCACTGCCAGAAGACAACTGTGGTTACTATTATTGGATAATTCTTTGATCTTTTCTCTATATACATACATACATACATCTAGACAAAATATATAAATAATATTTTAAACTATGTAGATATTTTAATAATTTGAGCTCGTACTGTTTGTACTATTTTATACTACTTTTCCCTACTATTATAGGTGCACTGGAAAATTTAATGATTGCATTATGTTTTATATATCATAATATATTTGTCCCATTTCCCCATTTGGGGGCATTTAAATTGTTTCCATTATTTTTAGAAACTCAGGTTGTTCTTCCATAATAAATAATACTAAAATGAATAGTTTTATAAATGCATTTTAACAGGTTTTCTATTTCCTTATCACAAATTCCTAAAATGGAGTGATTTGTTTAAAATGTATAAACATGTAAATTTTCTTTTTATATATTAGCAAATAACTTACTACATGCATAAAAGTATGATATGCCTTGTTAATTTTTGCCAACTTGATTTTTAAAAAATGTAGTTTCCTTCTTTCATTTTGCCTTATTTTCATTATTGGTAAGGTTAAACATTTACTCATACATTTATTTACCATTTGTATTTATTCTATGATGTGACCATGTGTTTACACATTTCTTATTAGTGTTTTTCTTGGGTTATTTATATTTTAATGATTGATTTGTAAAGTAGGCATACCTTTCTCATATTTGTTTTTAAGTATGTTTTCTAATTGGACTTTGCTTAAATTTCTCCAAAACATTCTTGATAAAGAGAGGTTTTAAGGTTTATATAATTAAACCTATTTGCCTTTTTTTGTTTTTTTTGTTTTTTTTTCTGGTAATTTTATCCCATATTTTAGTGCTTAGAATCATTGAGCTGTGGAAAACATTTATGTGTCTTCTATAGCTTTACTTTTTAAAATCAATATAGAATTCATTTGATTTACAGTTTTGGATATGTTAAAATATAATTTTCTTTATTGTATTTTTATTAAACTTCCCTATCTTCATTTGTTGAGTAATTTGATCCTTTGTGAAATTTCCTTTACAAAATTGTTTTTGTTATTGTTAGTATTACTATGTGTTAGTGCATACCAAGTTCATATATACCCCAGGAAGTTTCAGGACAGTCTCTCAGTTCTGTTATTCTGTCAATTCTTGTGTATGACCACATTGTTAAAATTGTTTCAATATGTGTATATACATACTCAAGTCATTTTTTGATACGTTTAGCTATTTTTTGTTTTAGCCTACCAGATAAAATAGTTCTAAGACCATATATATTTCTTTCACTGGAATTTCATTAGATTATACTGGTAATCTGCATCTCAGAAGTCTGCCTGCTCATACATATTTGCCACCCCAAAATATACAATATTCCTTCATTCAAAATTATTTTTATGATTCTCCATAAAATTATTATATTTTATATAATGTATCCCATCATGTTGTGATACATCTATGTCGAATATTTTAGGTTATTTATGATTTTTCAGCTATTTAGACTTTTTCTCGTTTAACGAGCTTTGTGTATACATAGCTGTATTTAGTAGGGATTTTCCAGAGAACAGTACCAATAGGATATATATATATACACAGTCATACACACACACACACACACACACACACACACACACGATTTTTTATAAAGAGTTGGCTCACGTGTTTATAGAGGCTGAGAAGTCCCAAAATTTGCTCTCTTGCGCAAGCTGGTGACCGAGGAAAGCCAGTGGTGTAGTTTAAAAGCCTAAGAACTGATGAGCTGTTGGTGGGGATTCCAGTTCTAGTCTGAAGGCCTGAAAACAAGGAGTGTGGAGGGCAGCAGAAGATTGATATTTTCAGCTCAAGCAGTCAGAGAGTGGATTGAACCTCTTCTCCCTTTTTATTCTATTCAAGTCCTCAAGGGATTGGATGCTGCCCACCCACGTTAGGGAGGACCATCTGCTTTTCTCAGTTCACTAATTCAAATGCCAATCTTTTCTGGAAAGATTCTCATAGAGTTACTCAGAAATAATGTTTAACCTGTGGCCCAGTCTAGTTGGCACATAAAATTAACCATCATACTAGCGTAAACATTAATTACTTTAAACTTTTTCTTGTCTTATTAATTTAAATATATAACTTTTTTTTACTTATTTTTCAGGCTGAAAAATTACCCCAACATATTGATAATGTTATCTTCTCATTTCTAATACTTTTTGCTGTTCCATGTCTGGTACCATTGGCTAAAATTTCTAGAAAGTTATAATAACAACTAGAAATGTGTTTTTGTTTTGGTTCAGAATTTATTAGAAATCTCTCTCTTGTTTTTTCTTTTGATATTCTATGGGCCTAATATTATTTAACATATAAATTATTCTATTTTTATTTTCCCAGGGAGTGCATTTAAAATCAAGTATTCATATTAAAATTTATTAAATGCCATTTTAGTTTCTTTTGAATTTGTCACTTTTTCTTTGACCTGTTACTATGCAACATTTGCTAGGTAGATTTCTGAATGTTAAACCATCCTTGTATTATTGGGATATTCCTTACCTGGTCATAGTAGCTGAAGCTTTTAATGTATTAATGAATTTAGAATACTTATATTTTATTACACATATTCATCTATAATTGGAATTTTAGATGGGTATATGGAATGCATGGGAAATAGATTTCAAGCCAGCTACAGTCCTTCAGTGGTAATAATTCTCAATATGTTGAGAATTACTGCAAAGTTGCAGGATCCGTCCCATGTACTCTAGGTAATGTTGGAATGTGCTAAGTGGTGACCGCACGTCCTGTAGGCTGAGGTCTGTATTTGCAATCTTGTATCTTTCATGTCTGCCTCCTCCTGCTCCTGCCCTGTTCTTTTAATGCTATTTTGAGCAAATGTTGATGTTGGGAGTGGAGTTATGCTTCATTGAATTAATAGTTAAGTTTTTATACACAGTCAAATTATGTAGCATGGACTTTAAAATAAAATTCTGAGAGGTTTTCAGTAAACTTATTTTCTGGGGTGATTTTTGAAAGTAACTTTTAATAGTAACTTTTGATAATTATTTTACTGTATTTGTTTATTCAATTTAGTTAATTTTGGCTTTTAATAATTTGCAATTATCTATATTTTCTAGAAAAATACATAGTATTTTCTGAGGTAATTTTTCCCTTATCACTTCAAAATAACTTTCATATATACACTTTTCCATTTCTTACTGAATTAGTCATTTCCTCCCTTTTATTAGGTTTGACTATTCTATTATTATTTTTTAAAGACATCAAACCTTTATTCAGTCAGCTGTCAAGACCTGTCATTGTCAACCTTTTAATTTTGTCTGGACTTCCATTTTTGTTGTATTGCCATTGATTTCTTCAGGTTTGCTTTTATTTTTTTTATTTTATTTTATTTTTTTGATTTTTTTTTTTTTTTTTTTTTTTTTTTTTTTTTTTTTTTTTTTTTTTTGGTTTATATTACCAGAGCCTTTAAAAACCCTTTTCTTTCAGGCTAGACACCATGTTGTGTTCAGGGTAATTTTTCAAACTCCAGATATGATAATATATTCATTATTTTAAATTTTGAATTCATCTTTCTCTTCAGGATAAACTTCAAGTCCTGTAATATGGTTCCACCCACTACTTCTGCTCTGAATGCTGCCTGTCTTTGAACTGTTTCCTTCCTTCCTGTACTCTATGGTTTGGCATTGCTGGACCTGTAATGCCCATCTCTCCCCTGCCTCTCCTTCATTCTCCCTTCCTACCTGCCCCTCCTCCCTGCACCACTCATAGCCTTGCCTACCTGGTGGTAAACTACTACTCAGAAGTTCAATCAAAAATGACTTTTGCATGTTTGGTTTTCTTGCCCTCACTCTCAGAGATAGTACTTTTTCCTATGTTCTTCACTCTGCTTTTTTTTTCTATTACAACAATGAAAATGAGTGGCTTTTGTTTTTTTTTTTTTAGAAGACTGTTTTCTTTAAAAAAACCTTTTAACCTCTAAGGCTTAGAAAAGAAATAGTATATACTATGACATGCAAATAATTTTATTGAGAGTTCTCATGATTGCATTCCTTTGCTAGGCATTGTCATGTTCTTGGGAGCTGAGTCAAATTGTTGGGGCTAGAAAGTCATCACAGCTATTCCCTCAGTTCAAGATCAAATGGAACTCTAAATAATCCAAATGCTTTTTGTGAATATGCCTCATGTCTGCTGCTCAGATGTGTCTATTCATGTAGTATGGTTATCTTGTCTCAAATAGATAAATCTAAAGGGTATAGTTGATCTGTAATGCAGAGTTTCATATTCTGTCCTGTATGTTCTGGCCCATCCCCTTTTGTATTGGGGTGAAGGCTAAGTTGCTATAACAAAGAAACAAATCTGAAATACAGTGGCTTTTAAGAACATATCAATTCTCATTGCCCATGTAATAATCTTGAAATGAGTGCTCCTGGTCCTTAACACAGCCCTGCTCCTGGTGG